TAAAATACAGGTAAAATATTTTCCATCTTGTGAAAGTTCTTATAAAGGCATTTCCTTCTTTGGATCAGATGATTTGGATTTTCTTTCTTGGCTCCACTTGATTTATTTTAATGGACCACTAAGTATTTGAAACAAATACATAGACTTAACGATGGATCTCAGTAAATTTTTGTTTTAAGTTAAAAAAATGCCCCTTACTGGGTGTGGTGGTGCATGCTTTTAAACCCAGCACTCGGGAGGCAGAGGCAAGCGGATCTCTGTGAGTTCAAGGCTAGCCTGGTCTACATAGTGAGTTCCAGGACAGCTGGGGCTATAGGGAGACCCTGTCTCAAAAAGACAAAAAAATGCCCCACTTCTCCTTCCATTTACACATGTCTGTTCTACTCAGGTGAAGACAGATAACTTACGTGAAACCAGAAAGATATTTCTGTGGGTATGGGGCAGGGAGGTGTCTTTATGAACTGATTTAATAGTATGGACCAATACAAACTGGAAATAGTTCTTCAATGAGTAGTGATGTTGACAGTGTTATAAATACAGCATTTACTGCCCACAAAATCTGATCACTGCTTTCATTTGTACAGAATGCATTCAATGTAACACACACATTCAACACTTACAGATGCCAAAGCCTTTCCAAGTGCATCCCCTGTTTGTGAGCTTCCAGCAGCAGTACTTCTGGTTCCTGGACGGTACAGATAGGCAGACAAATCAGAAATATTAGCAGGAATGCTTTGCTTCCTTAAGCATTACTTCAAGGGGAGTAACTATTGTTGCCTAATTTCTGTCACAAGTAAATCAGGAAATACTCTTACGTTGTGCTTAACAAGGTACAAAATAAAGACTATTACTGTTTTTTTTTAAATTTTTTAAATTAATAAAAGTTTCTTTTCTTCATCTTTAAACTAAATACTAAAAAATTTATTGAACAATATGGAGCTCATGGAAAACTCTCAAATTAGGATTTAGGAGTTTTGCCAACCCATAAAGCTCACCTAGAATGCTATCTGATCCATTGATGGGAGGAGTATGTGAGGCAGCAACATATGGTGAACTACTGGTGCTGCTGCGGTGAAAGCTGGACATTGGTGGAAGACTCGTGTTGATGTCTGTTGGTGACACTGAGTGTGGAGGATAACTCTAGGAAAGAGAGAAAGAGACATGATGCAGCACGTGTTTTCTGAGGGCTAGGGATATTGTTCAGCAGTAGAGCGCTTGCCAAGCATCCGTCTCTCTCCTTCCTCTCTCTCTCTCTCTCTCTCCTCTCTCTCACACACACAGACACACATGCACGTACAATAACACATAAAAACTTTAGACAATGTATATTTTCTGAATAATATGCACATATGTGTATACACACACACCTTGTATAACAGGTCTAAAAAGCATGGAAGTTATGGCTAGAGCATTACTACAGTAACACTACAAAAAGCCAATGGTAAATCAGGATGCCTAGAGCTACTTTAAACTTTACAAGTTTTAGCATAATCAAATTTTATATTGGAATCTGAAAAGAAACAAAAGCGAGGCCAAGAGCTTTGTGACAGCACAGCCTACCAAGCGGTCATGTGAATGAAGGTTGCCATAACTACTGGACTGAGACATGTGGGAAGTGGAGGTCCCCAGAATTCCACCAAAACCAGGCTGGCTCATTCCATTTGATGAACTCCAAAGGTCAGAAGAATTGTGGGTCCCATCTAAGATAAAAAGAAATAAATTACAAAGTTTTTCTTTTCTTTTGATTATGCACACTGAAGTCCAAAGGGTACTATGATGACTACTTGCAAATGTCAACTTATTACAATCTAGGAAGAGTTTCAGTGAGGGTCTACCCTGATCAGGTTGGCCTGTGGGTATGTATGCCTGTGAAGGTGGGAAGACCAACTTTGATGTGGTGGCACCATTTCATGGGCTGGGCCTTGAACCATGAGGGATGCAGGGAGGGGAAAGTAAGCATGTATTTCTCTGTTCTTGACTGTGATATGATGTGACCAGCTGTTTAAATTCCTGCTGCCTTGACTTACCTTCTCTGATAGGCTGTTACCTGGAATTGTGAGATAAGATAAACCCTTTTGTCCTTAAGCATTTTTTTTTTCTTTGCCAGGGTATTTTATCACAGCAACAGAAACAAAACTAGGACGGGTACCCACTATTCATTTTTGCTTATTTTTCAATCTAATACTCTCTCAAGTTTTCTTCCCTTCTAATTACAAAATTACTATTTAAAAAGAAGCTTTATAATAATAATAATAATAAAAACACAAACAAACAAAAAAGAAAACCAACCCAAGCTGTAATAGGTATCTCATTATAAAAAATTCTCACAAGATGTAAATTTCATACCAAGGAAGGTCATAATACTTTGAAATCTGGGGACAAGCTGAATTTAACTTTTGATTGAATATTCTACTAATAAATATAATCTAAAAGTTCTTAATCTGTAACAGGCAGTGCACATTATGCCAGACGTTCTGAAAGTGTGGAATGGGGACATTTCTCTCCCAGTAAATCTAAGTCATGGGGACATTTCTCTCCCAGTAAATCTAAGTCATTGAGAGTGACTCCATTACAGTTGGACTTCAAATGAACTGTGTCAGTAGTGACTTCATCCACAGCATAAAGTCAAGGAACCATTTACAGAATAATTTACTGCTCCCATATACACACTTCCCATAATCCCAAACCACAGGACACCAAATAAAAATGATTTGCCAGATGTGAACTGAAGGAAATGCAACAAGTTTTTCTTTCTTGACGAGGCTCATTCAGTTCTATGATATTCACTATTTAATCTGTAATTCAAACAAGAAACCAGTTTCTAGTTTTATATTTAAAAATTCTAAGACAAACCAGTAGTCTTGCTCATTTTTTTCTCAATTTAAGTCCTTTACAAAATGAATCAGTAAGCTGGGCGTGGTGGCGCATGCCTTTAATCCCAGCACTCGGGAGGCAGAGGCAGGCAGATCTCTGTGAGTTCGAGGCTAGCCTGGTCTCCATAGTGAATCCAGGACAGCTGGGGCTACAGGGAGACCCTGTCTCAAAAAGACCAAAAAAAAAAAAAAAAAAAAAAAAAAAAAAAAAGAAACAAAATGAATCAGTAGATGATCACTATAAAGGTTTGTTGGATAATTTAATTAAATTACAACTAGCAAAAAATGGCCCTAGAAAATTATATACTCAAATTTTAATTTACCTCAGTTGAATAATACCTAGAAAAATACCATCTAAATAGCTATTCTCTTCTCTCACACTTTACAATACTGGTTCACATACAGATGGCTATATTCGGTAATGCTTACCTTGCATAAAGAAAGTGCTAGCAAACATACTGGTTGGTGGCTTAGGAGATGGATAACTAGGAGATTCACGGTTGAAATCATCAGAATTTGGGGATGGTGCATATACCTTAAAACAAAACAGGAAACTCAATTATTTATAAAATATATTCACATAGTGCCAAATATAGTTACTAATTATACCCTTCTTTTTAGCTGGTTCCTAGAAAAAAAATATTACTTCATGTATTCCTTTTGGCATGACAGTTTTACTAGGAGACTGAAAAAGGCCTAAGTAACCTGGATGGAGAAATAATTTTCCAACTAGGCCATAATTTGAAACCTTAGGGGGCAAAAAAATAGAGCAAAACATACAATTTGGGATCATAAAATCCATTCTTTTCACTGTTGCAAGCTTTATCATTTAAAATAAAATGAATGCGATAAATATTTCTATCCTCTGTTAATATAACTGAAAGGCACCACACAATAGTTTACTAACTCCTTAACTTAGCAGGATTAGAAAATCTTAAATTTCAAGTATATTTTCAAGTCTGGTACATCTTTTAAGGAAAAAAAATCATTTGTTAGAACAATATTAATTTCTTTTAGCAAATAATTGCTTCAGGTAAGGAAACTACCAACATTATGAATTACATTCAACATCTGCATTCCTTGGGAAAACTAAATGGAGAGTCAAATAAACTTAGTGATCAAAGCATGATCACATCGTTTGTGTAACTACTGAAGGAAAACTAAATAACACTTAGTTATGTATGAAGTAAGGCATGGTAGTTCATGCCTGTACTTCCAGAAACTCAGGAGGCTGAGGTGAGATGGATTCAAGTTCAACGTAACACTGGCAACAGACTTGAGATTATTTTGAAAACAAAACAAACAATAAGTCATGTATGTCTTAGCTGGAAGAAAGTTAACATTACAATTATGGGAACACGTACACATCCCCCCCTCAAATTTGTTTAATCAAAGAGAATTTCTGGGATTATATGGAAGAAACTCGGCAATGGTTACATCTCTGGACTTAGAATTGGGGAAAAGGCCTTTTAGTATATATTGTGGTATTTTTACCCCAAGCACAAACTTCTAAACATAAATAAGAGTTGAAGGACCAAAGATATAGCTCAGTGGCAGAGCACTTGTCTGGTATGTACAAAGCCTGGGTTCTTTTTCTGAAACAAAAATACACCAAGTTAAAGCAGGAGACATTTAAAAAGTTTACGGAAACTATCAATTATATATTCACAAGCTACCAAGACCTTCTTCTTCCTGTGAGGCACTAACTATACTCTGTCATAGTACCTCAACCTTCCTGGGGTTCAAGTTCCTTCATCTGTAAGGTAATGCTACCCTGAAACTCAGAGGGCTGATGGGAAGATGAGATGAGGTGACAGATAAAACCAAATGTTTAGCACAATGCTTTTCACAGTGCAGCAGCCTGCAAGAATTCACTGATACTGCCATCTTTCTACACCCAACAGAAGTGGTTACTGCTAAACATTGCTCCTGTTCAGTTTAAATGCTGTTTGCCAGTTTGTGTGACTTGACTCTACTTACAAAAACACAACTTATCATAAAACAAAGGTTAGAAAGTCCTTTTCTACTCTTCTTGCTGGTCTTCTTATGGCTTGGCTTTTATGTTTGTTTCCTACCTGTCACTTCTCATAAGTGGTACCTGAGAAGTGTGGGACAAGATACATTCTTAAGAATTATACAGAAGAGGGGCTGGAGAGATGGCTTAGCGGTTAAGAGCACTGGCTATTCTTGCAGAGGACCTGAGTTTGATTCCCAGTACCCACATGGAGGCTAACAACCATCTGTAACTCCAGTTCTAGGGGACCCAAAGCCCTCTTCTGACCTCCACAGGCACTGCACAACACAGGTGCCCCTACCAACATGCAGGCAAAACAGTAATACACATAAAATAAAAATAATGAAATTTTTGTGGTCTTTTTGAGGTAAAGCTATTTCATAAAAGATTATGTCAGAATTAAATATATATATAAATGTATTTGATGAATTTTTCAGGAAAAGAATTTTGAACTATGTTCTTTCAATCAAAAAGCCCTGTGTGGTGGTTCACACCTGTAATCTCAGCACTTTAGGCTAAGGCAGAATGACTGCCATGAATGAGAGTTCAAGGTCAGCCTTAGTCACACAGTGAGCTTCAGACTGTGCTATCCTGTTTTAAACATATAAACACTGTGGACTTCAGAGTGCTATCCTGTTTTAAACAAACACTGTGGACTTCAGAGTGCTATCCTGTTTTAAACAAATAAACAAGCAAGCAAACAAACAAAACATCAAAGTTCAGTTTCTAATCTTTCATAACTGGACATTCTTTGCCCCTTTATGTGTTAATCTCCCCAAGATAAGTGGAAGCCATAAAAACAGAAAGTAGATTAAACCTCTTGACTTACTTGGCTGGGAAATACAAACCAGTCACATGTAGAAGACACCATCAGAACACATGCTTCTCATCACGGGCCTGTACCTACTGCACATCCTGAATTTTTTTTTTTTCATTTACATTATTTTATTTGGAAATGTTCATACCAGTACAGGGAAACTAGACTTCACAGATAACAGATGTCATCAGTTTGGATATCAGTTTATTATAAAAGGGAGACACGGAAATTATTTACATGATGAAATATTTCAGCGCTTCAGTGGAATGGACAGCTTTGTGTGATGCCATTTCAACAGTGCTTTCAGTCTACATACTTCCCAAGAATGTCACCGTCTCTAAATAAGAAATAATCCTTGTCATTTATAACTACTTTGGTGCCCCCGTACTCTGGGAGAAGAACTTTGTCTCCAACTTTCACACTAACTGGTTGAATCTCTCCACCCTTTCCTTTAGAGCCTGATCCCACAGATACTACTGTTGCTTGCAGTACTTTTCCTTGAGATTTTTCTGGAAGCATAATGCCACCTTTGGTGACAGTTTCAGCTGCACTCCTTTCAACCAATACTCTGTCAAACAGCGGAATAAACTTTCTAAATGCTTGTCCAGCCATGACTCTGGCCGCCGCTGCCCGGACTCTACTCTCGCGCCGCCACTGCAAGGAGAGCCACATCCTGAATTTTGAAGTATGGAATATAAGTCTCTAATTCATCTATTCATCTAACTATATTCAGGTTATAGCCCAAAATGTGAACCTCATGCATGAGAATTATGAAAAAGGTCAAGTTCTGCTGTATGCTGTATCACTGCATGCAACAAAATACTTCATTATTTTTCATCTTAAACTTTGAAATAATTTGCCAATTCCCAAAGGAAAGGGATATGTTTATTTTGCTGATTTACAAACTGCTGCTAAATAAAGAATATGCTGATCAGATAACTGACAGCCATCACAGAAAGCAAGGAAGCTGAGGTAAATGAAACAAGTCAGAGAAAGACACATACCTACTTGCACTTGAAGATTTCAAAGCTAAATGGGAAAATGAGACCCCATGTAAGAGGCAAAGTTTATTTTTAATGATAGTCTCTGTACATAGAAAAAAAGAGGACTTTTTCAAGATAGACCCTAAAATAAAAATGGTAACTAAAACCCTGAATTACTTTATCATTTATGCCCTAGCAAAATTTCAAGTTTTTATCATAATAAAAATGCCCTACAGTTTGTAGTTCTCAAAGACCATCTGACAGCATTCCGACTGCTTTTGGTATCTTAACCATAGCCTGCAAGAACACAGATGCAACGCTATGGAGCAGCAGTTGTGCCAGCCTTGATTTTTCAGATCAAAGAGTTCTTGCGGCAAAGCACAACTGATGTGGTCTCGGAGAGTTTATTAACTCCAGATGTGGGGAAATAGTCAGCCAATTCCACAAAAAGAGCAAGTCTCTCCCAGTTACAATCAGTACTGGCCGCAAATTAAAACCAGACTGCTTATGTCATCTGATCACCTGTATGGAGATGCCAATTTTTTCTAGTTAATGATCTAATCATACATTTAAATCTCAAGAATGGTTTTGTAACACAATAAACAATCTTAAAATTAAGACACAGGAATACGTATGGCTGAAGATAATAAAATCTACCAGGAGTGATATCAGAAAAAGGGAAAATTAAGTATTTTAAGGTGTTCTATTTAAACATGGTAGATAGAAATTTGCTTTAGAATTTCAGCTTCTGTTTCAGAAAGACTAGCCCAGGCAGTTATTACAGAACTGTCCATTTTCCCTTCGAAGGATGGTGTGAAGGGATATTTCTGGGGTATCTGTTGAACAGACACTAACTTAAAAGAAAACTGAAATCTAACCCATACTTCCTTTCCCTCATTATTAAGTCTGGTTGAAAAGAACAAACCCATATCAATATCCTGGATGTTCTCATCCCACCCACCCAGAGTGACTTTTTAAAAGGGACTACACAGCAGGGATATTTACAGTTGTGACTAAGCAATTACTCTTAGAATGTTTTAGTTCATGCAACCAACTGGAGCCAAACTAGCAAAGACAGATTCCCTTTTTTCTCCCTGCTTGGATGATTCAGTTTAGGCATACCCATGACCCCTCCAAATATCCATAACCCCCCAAATCGGGACAGAGCACTCTGTTTGGAGCTGTAGAGGCTGGAGTTGCGTGCTCAGCTCCTGCTTTCAATGCATCCTTCCCGTAATTCATATTGGAAACGGCCCTATGAAGCAAGGAAGCGTAATGACTTTCTGGTCATCTGAGAAAAGATGAGAAGAAAAACCTCTAACTAAAAAAGATAGATTCTGTAGCCTGTGTGATGGCTGATATTTTTAAGCGGTCCAAATGACAAGATGGTGAGAATTTTCTTTAGTAAGTGTGAAGAGCTACATATCTTAATTATGGGGCCCTTTATCAGAACACAAGAACTCTTCAGAAGCCACCCAATCTTATCTGTGGTAAGGAAGTACTCTCCCTCTATGCTGTGCAACTCAACAGCATAACTCAGCAGCCACCTGAGATGCAGACAGTACAAAAGAGGAAATGAACTTTACATTTCATTTCTTTTTTAACTTAAATACTCACATATGGCTAACAGTTACTAGACTGACTATACTCCTTTACTCAGTTTAGTATTACATAAATTATTCTGAAATAAATATTTTGAATTATAAGCTCCAAAACCTATGAAAACCAGCCTAAATTCTCGAACATTTTTTGGAACACTGTCATCTAATTTGGAGTAGGAAATATGGAGGGCTGGGGGTACGGCTCTGGTAGGGCACTTGCCTAGCATGCTTCAGGCTCTGGACTGGATCAGCACTGCGAGGGTATGGAAAAATAAAGATGATTTCAGCAACAGTTCTTTTTTATTTTTATTTTTTGAGACAGGGTTTCCCTGTAGCCCTAGCTGACCTAGAACTCGCTATGTAGACCAGGCTGGCCTTGAGATCCACCTGCCTCCGTCTCTCAAATGCTGGGATTAAAGGTGTGCACACCATGCCTGGCACTTAGTAACAGTTCTTTTTGAGTTTCAATATGTTCAACATCATTAAACATTTTAATATACACTAACATGGACCTCCAATATGTGAACAGTCTAGGCTAATCATAGAAATTATCTTCAGGAGGCTAGAGAGATGGCTCAACAGTTAAGAGCATTTACTGCTCTTGCAGAGGACCTGGGTTCTGTTCCCAGCAACTATGTGTTGGCTAACACCCATCCTTAACTCTAGTTCCAGGGGATCCAACACTCTCTTCTGGCCTCCATGGGTATTGCATGCACATAGTACACTTACATACATGCAGGCAAAACACTCATACACATAAAATAAAGAGAAATAAAATCTTTTTTTAAAAAAATGCAACCAGATGGTTTGGAGAGATGTCTCAGTGGTTAAGGACACTGACTGCTCTTGCAGAGGACCCAGGTTCGATTCCCAGCACCCACATGGTGGCTACGAACTGTCCTTACTCCAGTTCCAAGGGAATCCGAAGTCCTCTTTTGACCTCCATGGCACTGCATGACATGGGTGCACTCACAAATATGCAAGCAATACACGCACACACATAAAATAAAAAATAATAAATAAAATGTTTTAAAAAATGCAACCAGAAAAAGATATTAACTTGATAACAACTTACAAAAAAAAATCATTTGGCTAATTTACCTTACTATCACAATTTTAAAATAAAAACATGGCATTACATCTGTCAGGAGCATTCACTTAATTTATATGACAGCTTGTGTAATGATGTTATGTAGTAAATAATACAAATTCTACAAGATCTAGCTAAATTCTTAAAGCCTAAAAGGAAAAAAAAAAAAAAAAAGTCCAGAACAATAGAAAAAAGAAAATCCTAACCTAACTCAAACCTAAAAACTCTAGTTTCTGGATGTACAATGTGAAGAGAAAAAAAAAAAAGGCACATTTATGATCTAACACTCCAGAATTGTGAAGAAAAAAAAGTAATTCTTATATAATTTTATTTTATAATTAAATTACTACTGATTAACCTATGTAATTTCTGAACAAAGTAATATACAACAAAAAGCTTCCATCTCTGAATTTTTAAAGATCTGAATTTTGTAAAATGAGGCTATTAAAGAATAAATAAAACTTTTGGCTTTAATAATTACATTCATTCAAATAAGTGTAGATAGACACCAGAGGCCATAAGATAGATTCACAATATAATTTTCTATATATTCTTTAAACTTTTGCATGCCCACTAATCAATGTATTCCCTAGGATTAAAAACAAACAAACAAACAAACAAACGTATCTTTAAACACAATGTAAGAATTTAAAAGTGTTTGAACTTTAGCTCTTTCTACTTTATTTCCTCTCCAATTAGAGTTAAAATATAACTCCAAAAGAAAATAACATAAAAATCCAAAAACAAAACTATAAAATGGCATCTTAACTGAAACAAAGGACAGATCTGATAAACACTTCAATGCTTTCAGAATTTTTTAAATTTTCATTTATTTAATTTTATGTGTATGATTATTTTGCCTGCATGTATGTAAATGTATCAATGTCCTGCAATGCCCACAGAGGCCAAAAGAGGGTGTTGGATACCCTGAAGCTGGAGTTTTGGGTAGTTGTTGGTTGACATGTGGGTGCTGGGAACTGAACCCAGGTCCTCTACAAGAGCAGCCAGTGCTCTTAACCACTGAGCCATCTCTCCAGCTGTCAGTATTTTAATACCACAAAGATAGCAATTTTGCCACAAAGAAAATCTGTTTACTAGAGTTTTTATGGTAACTTCTTGTTTAAAATCCAAATACTTCTAACAAAGAACCACAAGTGCTGAACCCACAAGCATCATAAAGCAAAATGAACAAAGGGCAAGGACTGACTCAAGGGCACATGAGCCATCTCTACCTAAGATTCTTCTTACTAAATTAGCCTGCTAAAGCACAACTCAATTTCTACAAGCAGGGGAAATATGGGATACCTTTCCCCCCAAATCTACAGAGAAATATTTATGGATACAAAAAGAAACTTTCCTCTCAAGGAATAATAATTATTTCCAGTTTTCAGTAGAAAGCATTTTCTTTTTTCTTAAATATTTTATTTATTATTATTTTATGTGTATGCGTGTATTGCCTGCATGTAGGTTAAGTGCACCCATGTCGTGCAATGCCCATGGAGGACAGAAGAGACTGTCGGATAACCTGGGACTGGAGTTACAGACAGTTGTTAGCTGCCATGTGGGTGCTGGGATTCGAACTCGGGTCTTCTGAAGAACAGTGTTTTTAATTGCTGCGCTCTCCAGCCCCAGTAGAAAGAATTTTAAAATCAGTTACTGTTTTTCCATGTAACAAGCAGTTTAATATACCAATTTCCAACTGTGAAGATGATTTCTCAAGATTAAATGAGGGATATTTTGAAAATCAACTTTAATATTACTGGTCATATTTCACTGGTTTTTATATTGCAAATGCTATTTCTTTTCAAATAATTATACTTTTTCTTCAGAAAGTGGAATTTTTAAGGGACAGGATTTGAAACTTACTTCTAGGGTAATATATTCAACAGATCAATATGTGCAAACTCTCAGTTATCTACATGAGTAAAAATTATTAATAGATGCAACAAAACAGCATCTGGCCCTCCTTCAATACATTCATGGACAAG